TGGGGGGTGAGGGTGAGGAGGGTGAGGGGGGTGATGTCTCCTCCTCCTCCCGTCATCCTCTTCCCTCTCTTCTTACATCTTTCCGTCTTCCACTGATAGATGAAGGTGGGTCGAGGGAGGCCAGTTGGGGAAGAGAGGAGAGGGGAGGGGAGGGGAGGGGAGGGAAACGAAGGAAGGGAAGGGAAGGAGGAAGAAGAGAAATGCAAAGGAAGGAAGAGAGAGGAAGAGAACAGGAAAAAGGGAGAGAGAGAAATGGAAAGAGACGGCGGGGAGTGATTCGGTCTGAAGGACATATGACAAGACAGCTCCGCCACCTGTGACACCTCCCGTCATGCATGCAGGCAAAAGGCCGTGACAAGAACCCCCCTCCCCCCTCCTACCCCCACCCCCCTATTCACAAAGATCGACTATCGCTTTTCTTCCCTTTATCGAAACAGGAAAATAGGATTTTAAAATATATACCATAAAAATAATACTAATAATAAAATAAAAGAAAGACTAGGAGAAAGATAGAGATAGAGATAGAAAAAAAAAGATATCTCTCTAACCTCTTTCTTTCTTTCTTTCTCTTTCTCTTTTTTTTTTCTTTTACTTCTTTTTTTCATGTTTTCTATTCTCGTATTTCTGCCTCGTATCTCTGGAGAGCGACCACCACTGGCGATACGAAATGACTGATATCGACCGAAATAAAACGAGAAAAAAAGAGCGTCACCCTGGTTTCTCTCTCTCTCTCTCTCTCTCTCTCTCTCTGCTTTATCTCCCTTTTTTATTAATACCAACTTTTCATATCTCCGCTTTTATCTAGTCCGCGATAACGCTATTTCTCCCCCCCCCCCCAGCCATCTAATAATACATAAAACAATAGGTTATTTTCACGATAAAAAGCAATAAAGCCATTAACAACTAAGATAACAATAATGATAGTAATGATAAAAATAATAACTCCCCAATCTATTTCTATAAAAAAACAGGTCTATCAGAAATTCCTTCTACCCCTTCCCCTCCCTCCCTCCCCCCATCTTCTTAACCAATTCCCTCCTTCCCTCCCTCCCTCCTTCCTCCCTTCCCTCCCTCTTCTTCTTACCCAATTCCCTCCTTCCCTCCCTCCCTCCCTCCTTCCTTCCCTCCCTCCTTCCCTCCCTCCCTCCGGTGCCTCTCCCCCCCTCCCCTCCAAGAGTGTCCGAGGCAAGAGGCACTCCCTGGCACCGACGAAGCTTCTTGACACAAAACAGCGTCGGGGAAGACTTTTGGCGAGGCAGGAAGCCACAGTTTCTCTTCGGCAGGAGATCGCCGAGCTGAGCGAGGGGGGAGAGGGGGAGGGTGGGAGATTGATAATTTTGTTCACATTCATGTACTTGTACTTATGCGTACACATGCACTCGGCAAACGCATACGCATACACACACACAACTATACTCTCTCTCTCTCTCTCTCTCTCTCTCTCTCTCTCTCTCTCTCTCTCTCTCTCTCTCTCTCTCTGGAAACCCAACTTCCGCAACAGATAGACAGACATATACACACATACATACATACACACACACACACACGGTGGAAGCAGGGTCGGCAGGCAGAGAGAAAACAGTTCAACTTGGAAACCTACGTTACCGGTCTGCTCACCCCCCCCCAACCCCCCCTACCCACCCCCCTTCTTCCCGGCACAACCCACTCGCTCTCACTATTGCTGACCCTTGGGATCACTCCCCCCCCCCTCCCTCTCTCTCTGTACCCATCTCTCTCATCTTCACTTTTTCCTCCACTTCCTTTCCCTCCTTTTCGTTGTTCCTCGCTTTCTCTTTCTCTTTCTCTCTCTCTCTCTCTCTCTCTCTCTCTCTCTCTCTCTCTCTCTCTCTCTCTCTCTCTCTCTCTCTTTCTCTCCTCTTTCCTCACGTTATTTCTTTTCCTTTCTCCCCACTTACTTCATATTTCTTTTCCTCTCCCCCCCCCCCCAATACACTGGGAGATCTCGACGCCCCAGGAAAAAGGGATCTTTCTCCTCCTCCTCCTCCTCCCCCCTCCCCCCTGCTGCATGGGGTGCCAGGCACTCTCCGGCACCGCATTAAGGCGCGTTCGTTCGCCCACCCGCGTCCAAGGAATCAAATAATAATAATAATAATGTGAAGAAAAAAGAAATATAAAGTTTCGACAGAACTAAAATCAGAGAATGAATTGACTTTGCCGCTCGTTTGATCGTGGCACTTGCAACATATCGATATTGCAAAGGGGGGAATAAGCTCTTAACTAACTCTTACTCTTCCTCCTCTTCCTCCTCCTTTGTCCACAAACCTCTTCTCCTCTTCTCTTTTCTTTCTCTTTTCCCTTTTTTTTCCTCTTCTCTTTTCTTCTCTCCTGTTCTTTTCTCTTCTCCTCCTCCTCCACCCCCCCCACCCCACCCCCAGTGCCCCGAAAACCAGTCCGAATAACAGGGAAAAGCTGACGTGAGAGAGAACGATTTCGGTGAGGGGGGGAGGGGAGGGATAGGGAGGGGGGAGGGAGGATGGGG